TTTTACCAATTCTATTGACAAACAAAAGGATAATATTTAGATGAGAATTCTGAGTAGTGATAAAACATAGAGATTCCACTACTTACCGATGAATCGGCCAGGGAAGCCGCAAGATCTGAAGCATCGATCTTTGCCGCAGATTCGGGCAAAGACACTTCTTTCGGCTTTGCACTTTCAGGCAGAGACACAGGCGGTATCTTCTCCTTTTCCGCAGCTTTGGGCAAAGACACTTTCGGCGTCGTCTTTTTGGTTTCCTCCGCCTTCATATTCTTATACCTGGCCATCCTCAATTCCTTCTCCGCAACAATCTTCGCCTGTTGTTTTTGCTTCCGGTTCTCGACCTTCGTCCATCCATGGTCAGAGGTCTCAGAGCCATCGTACTCCATAGGCACTTCTGAAGTTTCTGATAGACTCAAGGCCTTATCAAGAAAGAAGAGATTCAGATCAAAGAAGAAGAAGAGAATAGCTTGTATGGAAGAAGGTAGGAAAGGTATTTAAGGAAAATTAGGGGAAAATTAGGGTTTGCATCTCTTTGATCACCGTCCTATTCTCCTTTATTAAGACCCTCGTTAATATATATACAAACATTAAATATTGGGTTGATGACGGTTTAACATGTTCTAAACCTATTTACCCATTACAAGCCTATTCTAGAAGGTTCTAAATTGTTCTCCAAATCTTATTTTCTCAACATATTGAAATATCTGCAAAATTAACTAATATATTGTGAGAATAAACCAAACTTATATATTATCGTCTTTAATCTCCATAATTTTTTTTGTGCCACATATTAAATTTACACCGACGATTAAAGACCATTATAAATATAAAATCTCATGATTAGAACATTGAAAAATACCATTATATCAACCGATTTTATTATTATAGATAATACGCACTAAATCAAATATATATAAAAGATACTTTCCCATATATTTTTTAGTATTGAGTTATTCCAATGGGTGTTTATTTGATGACTTAATTACAAGTGTGAATATATATATATTGGAAAACTATTGTTTGAGAGAATTTTCGTATTTTGAGTTATTATCTTTTCTGTCTTTCAAGTTAGTTTTGTTTGTCATTAGATGAGTCAAAACATTTTTAGGG